TCTGTGTCGAAGAGACGAGTTCATTACGCATTACTAACAACATAAAACGCTTCTACAAAGGACGCCATTTTCATAGCTTTGAACTCGAAGATGAAACAAACAATATGATTGGTTAGACTATTTTGGCGCGTACAGTTCTCAACATATGTAACCCAAATAGTGATTGGTTGAAGTAGCGGAAAGGAATGTTGTTCGAATGTGAGCAGCCGTTTGTGTGGAGAAGCGTTGCGTGACGAGACTAAAAACGGCTGCGAGGGAGACTACGATGGAGTCAGACGTAGATGTTTTCTGGTTGTGAAATTTAGTGGAGTGAATGTTATTGAAAGCGGAGCAATACTAACGATGGCGTGTTCGAGTGTGCCCACTGCGGCAAGCAGCGAAGATGAGAAGAAAGAACAGAGGCTTATTGATGTTATGTTTCTCTGTGATGAGTGGAAATCTTCAAAGGGTGGATTATCAACTTTCAATAGAGAATTTGCAATTAACTTGGCAGAAACGACGACTAGAAGCATGAAAATCCACTGCTATGTCTCGAAAAGCGATGAGCGAGACAGGGAAGACGCCAAACAACATGGTGTAAATTTAATCACCGCCGAAACTGTTCCTGGATCGCGTGATGCTTTGGATTGGTTAAAAGTTCCACCTTCAGGGCTTCAGCATCCACATGTTGTCATTGGTCACGGCAGAAAACTTGGAACTCCAGCGTTCCACATTGTACGAGCTGCAAAATGTAAATGGATTCAGTTCGTACACGTCTTTTGCGAAGACCTTGGAAAGTTCAAAGAAACTACTGCCACGGCTGTGACAGATACGATCGAAGAGAACGAGGAGAAGCACAAGATGGAAATTGAGTTGTGTGAAGCAGCTGATGCAGTTGTTGCTATTGGCTCTCGTCTACAGCAGAAGTACAGCAGAAGTCTGCCAAAGATGGAAGTGAAGATCATAACCCCTGGAATTGTGGAAAAGTTTTGCACTGAATCGATAGAATCAGGAAATCCTGCACGTGTACTATCGAGGACGTTGACTGCCTTTAAGTCTTACATGTTCATGAAGAAATTCAACGTCTTCATGTTCGGCAGAGCAACCTATGAAGACCTTACATGAAAGGGTTATGATATAGTAGCAAATGCCATAGGTTCCCTTGGAGAGAAATTTGAGCTCACATTTGTTGGCTCTCCTCCTGGTGGCCATAGAAACTTAGAGCAATGGTTTATTCAGAAGACATGCATCAAACGCACGCAGATTACCATTCGTGGTTATTGTACTGAACACGATGAACTGAAAAAAATGTTTCACCAATCAGACCTCGTTGCCCTCCCTTCACGCACTGAAGGATTTGGGTTAGTTGCACTGGAGGCCATTTCCTCTGGTGTTCCTATCCTTGTTTCTGGTGAATCTGGAGTAGCTGAGGCTTTGCAGAAGGTTGAAGGTGGAAATTCTGTTATTGTAGAATCAGATGATGATGCTGTTGAATGGGCACGGAGGATTAGTGAGGTGTCCAACCAAAGTCCAAAAGAGAGAGAAGCCAAAGCCAGACAGCTCAGAGAGAACTACAGGAAGGTTTACTCTTGGGGAGAACAATGTGAGATGTTCAAGGGTCTGATTGAAAATGTTGTGAAAACTGCAAATGGTGAGCCCACTTCTTTTCATTTTGCTTTTTGTTCAGTGCATTTACAGAAATGTTACACCACATGTATGTAACTAAATTTTAGGTAACAGTAGATAGCACAAGTAGATTGCAGGAGTTATTTCAGTAAATGTTTCGATCTGCAGGGAGAAACCAGCAGTAATAGTCCTCTTTCAGTCACTATACACTTTTTCCCTCCTCCTTTTGTCCTTGCAGATATAAACTTTGACATGTTAAAAAAATTTTGTGCTCTAGGTACTATTCAACTGGAAGATTGCTGTGCAATTTCAGGTTTTGGGCAAAGAAACACTGGTGTAGCAGCTCTATAATAATGAGGACCTATATACAGACTATCATGCAATATGTTAGAGGTTTAATGTGGTATTAATTGTTTTAAGTGTATTTGAAGTACAATTTTAACATAGACACTTTGCTCCAAATCAACAGATGGAAAATCAAATATCAAGGTTGATGTGGAACACATGAAACTTGCAGATCATGACACTTCCAGTACACCTTCAGTTTCCACAATGGAACCCGCAGGATGTCAAATGGCATCCACACCTCCAGGCACAAACAGAAAAAGACAATCTGATACAGATTTAGAAGATCTCCAACCATTTGAAAAGAAAGTCCTATGCCGAATTGCTATGAATTACCTTGACACTATACCACCACAGAGCAGGGATGAACACAATGAGTTTCAGGAATACTTGCAAAAAATGAAGGTCCTTATCACAGGTGTTTCTGTAGGAAGTTTGGTGATAACAGTAAAGTGCGATTCTCTCAAGAGCTTGGAGCAATTATGGGAAGATTACTCATGTGGCCTTTTGGAGAAGATGGTTCAAGAATGTTTTGTGACTGAAAAGATCTTGAAGGAACTAAACCTGGCAGAGCTGAAGCTGAAAACAACAATGGACATAGAAGAGTACAAAGTATGCAAAGTGTACTTTGAGAAGGATGCACTCAGAGGTCAGTAAAAGGAATGGAACAAGGCCAGGTCCTTTAATAAAATGTTTTGAAAAGATAACAAACACAATTCATATGGTTTACACACATGATTAGAGGGGTGCAGTTTTAATCACGATAGAACTTCTTGTCTTATTAGTAAGCTCAGACTAACTTATGATTTGTTTTGAAGACATTTCCTTTGATGTTTTTGTTGTTTTCAAACATCCTGACCCTATTTAATTAGCTGCTCTCATTTCCTATGTTTTCTTTTCTGTCATTGCTCCATTTATAAATAAATTAAGATAAGCTGAGAAAAGTTAATTGGCAAGATCTTTAGATGTTGGAGAAGCTATGAAAGAAACTTTACCAGTTTTTGTGTGGGGGGTTTTTATAAAAATGATTTGAGGTGTGTTTCATTGTTTATTGTATTGTCAGTATTCAGTGTTTACTTCATTATTTGTTTCCTTATAATTCTCTGCTAGGTGCTTTATCCTTTGAATTCCACCCCATAAGCTCAACCAGTGAAAGTTCACAAAAACAGGTAGACCTGAAAAAATGGAAACAGAAGACAAAGATCGAGGAGACAGTGGAAATGAAAGGTGGAAAAAAATTTAAAAAATGTATCAAGCTATTTGGAAAGTTGTTGTGCACAGTAATAACAATCATGTGACAAGTCTGTGAATAGTTATGTTAGTGCCATAATATGGCATTAATTTTTTTATATTGTTAACAGTACAACTTTTTCCCCTTAGATACTTCATCCCTCACTGTAATACCCACCACTGGTCAGGGAAAAGAACTAGGAGAATCCACAGGAAATATAGAGAAATGGGAAGGTTTGTTTGAATTAGTTTCTGAAGTGAAAGTGTTTGTGTGTTCAGCAATTATACCAAGTGTAAGGCAGTGGTCTGTTGGGATTAAAGATTTAGGCTGGTTATTTAAACAAAGTTTACCTGTTGTTTAGCAAAACCACATTCTATGTCACCATAATTCATATATTTTTGCAAACTTTATAAAATGGCAGTTTGGGTCAGACCTTGTGTAAATAACGGGCCCTCTAGGTTATTAGGGTCTGCAAGGTGAAACTATGGTAAACTGACAATGCTCTAAAAATAATTGTCAGTTCTCATTGAAAATATTGATTCGAGAGAGATGAAAAACCAAATCTAGTTTTCCCTAGCTCTGCCATTTGGTATGTAGGGAAGTTGGTAGTGGTTGGAGATGGTGAAACAGTATTTAGTTTTAATTACTAATTGATAATTATCCGCCAAAGGTGGAGTGAATATAGTTGAATAATCGTTATCTTCAAGAAGAGGACGACATTTTTTAATTTAGAAGACGTGTTTCGATATTATGAACATCATTGTCAGTTACAGACTATTTGAAAAACCGTTAGCGCTATTTAACAACTAGGCGAAACATGCATAATTAATTGTGATTAAGTGACAAAAATACATATTGAGTGAGTAAAGTGTTGGGAAGAATATAAAGCCTAAAGTGTGAGCGTCATGTTGACGTGATGAACCTGTTGGTTTAATTTAGGCTTTTCCCAGTTTATGTGCATAGCCTCCTTAAGTTTAAATTGAAATTTACTAGGGGCGGAATCAAGGATTTCAAAACAATCCGTGGAGCAAGATTGACGACAACTTTCTGAGTTTTGTAAATGTTTGAAGATATGCGAGGACTTGTCTGAAGAGAGATGTTCACAGACACGTGTGGAAAAATGACGACCAGTTTCGCCGATATAGTGAGCATTACAGCAAGCAGAAGTAAATTTATAAACCACACACGAACGAAGTTCTCTATGGACAGAATCCTTCACTGAGAAAAGATTTCTTAATTTAAGGGTGGTAAACACTAATTTGATGTCAAGATCATAACAAAAATGACTAACAAGGCAACCTATTTTGTTTTGAGCTACAGTAGAAAAACGGCCTAAGTAAGGTAACTTATAAAAGTATTGTTTACCCTGTGAAGTGATATTAGAGGAAAGGGGTGTTTGAGTGGAGCCATGTCGATCGATGGCTGTGTTCAAATATCGATAAACGCTTTTATCAATAAGATGAACGGGGAAAAGATTCTTGTGCAAAATGAAAACTAATTTAACAATGTCCTTGTGGAAGCCCAACCAAGTATTGTTGATTTTAATCCTGAGACAAAGATAGGGGACTATTCATCATTATTATCCAGATGCGCTTCATAGAGTATAAATAACGTGGAAGATAAGTACAACTATCATGCAATATATGTACTCCAGAAATATTCGTGAAATTTGCCTGCACTCAAAACAATTTGTCACTTATTAGACATTTTGTTGTGTAGTATCGCCGAGTATTTTAACTTGTTGTTTGTGTTTTGACTCGCCTTACAGGCTCATCAAAATACAGCACATCTGGTAAAAATACTCAGTCACTTAGCCTGAAGCAAATAATTCTTTTCAATTGGTATTTTTGCAAAGGTGCTTTTGAATTCTGTTGTTTGTAACTTTGTTTTCTTGTTGAAACCAGTCTGTTACAATAATACTGTTTGATTCTTTGCATGTAGACAAGCTGCCAGTTTCCACTAGAATTTAACAGGGTTATGTAATTTATCAGCAAAAACTTCATATATTTCTTTTGAAAGATGTTATGCCAAACTTAGTAGCATCTTTGTGCTCTGCTGCATCAATGACACTTCTTTTGTAGCATCTGACAAATCATAAAGCAGCCATTTTGAAATCTGGTGCCCTGCTATAATCACCTCATGTGAAGTGATTATAGCAGGATATGACTTAATCCTCAACGAATCAGTCAGCCTGTGCATCTCTTTAATCACTAGAGAAATTAAACTAATTATTATTAATACTGTAAAATAGTTATAGTAATTTTAATTTTAACAGGGCATCTGACAGGATGCAGTGATGTGGATCCGCCTACTTCCGCATCCTCCACATGCTTGGGGCTTTTTTTGGCATAAAACTAGAAAATTTCCACATATAAGCGAGAAAGCAACTGCTTACCATCCTCAGAAGCAAATAAAGCAAAAAGATTAATCATTTTGAAGAAGTTATTCACCCAAAACAGCGATGAAAACACAGCTTTCGTTCATAAACAGTTTTAAACTGCCTGGTGTTCCATACATCTTCTGGTGATGGGCCTGGGTCTGCTTTTGTTTTAATACTGATTTCTATTGGTTAAAATGGATCTGGCTTTCAGCTAATAGCATCAACTGCCAAGAAACTGCATTTGATACTTGTGCGGGAATCTGGAATACCAGAGAAGGAACGCTGGGAGTTTCAAAAACCTTGTTTAGATCTGTTTAGTCTATCAGTGTATTTGAACTACAGCAGTGCAGTGATCATTCAGAGATTTTCTGTGAGAGCCAGGACATTTTGGGACTTCCAGTGTCCGCAGTTTTCCCCGTCCAATTTAATGGCTGGTTACTAAGTTTCAGACAAACTCACAACGAAAACTAGGAAAAAACTGCGTTGGACGAAGACATAAAAATAATGTTCACAATGAATGCTACTATTTCTCTGTGTACTTTTACCCTTAGATACTTCACTCCTCACCATATTGTCCACAACTGGTCATGGAAAAGAACTGGAAGGAAGACTGAAAAGTATGAAACTTAAGGAAGAGAAAGGTGTGGAAAGAACCCTGAAGCTAAGGTTTAGTTGGTTATAAACAATTAAATGTTATTTTTGTTGATCAGGACTGCTCTTAAGCAAATATGTAAAGTCAGTGAATACTTTTAAATGTAAATTACTCCAAATGTGATTGCACCTCGTTCTCTACCTATGTTGAAAGGAGTTTTAAGTTGGCTTATGGAAAGGAAACAACATACATAATGTGATTTATATATGGGTAAATTGAATTGATGTCTCAACAGCTTTTTTGGTTTAAAGTTCATAAAGGCAATTATCCCTCCATAAATACAAGTTGGTATTCCTGTTTCTAACTATTTATCAGTAGAAAAGTCAGTGAATGCTGATCTCTCTCCTTGTATACCTTTGCTTCTAGGCATCTTGCCTCTCTCTGGATCTTCTATTTTTGATCCTGTAGAAAAACTAGAAGATCTTCAAAGAATGAAAGGTGAGTAAAAGATGCTGTTAAATAGACTTTTAAGGTAAAACTCATTCTCTACTTTAATTAAAGTGAGTATTGAGTTAGTATGTGGTAACAGAACACGTTTAGATATGAATTGTTTTCAAGGGTGATCATTGTTGATAAAATGGAGAAGTGATACTATTTGACTTTGCTGTAGGTACAGGTACAGTGAATGCCTATTGTTATCTTATCTGCGTAAAGTAAGACACTGAATTTTGAATAGCTCTGTATACCTTTGCTGCCAGGTTCTTTACCTTCCTCTCCTCTCTCCACCTTTGATCTTGAAGAAAAGCTAGCAGAAGTATATGTGAAACTTAGAAGGCCGAGAAAGAAACAAGGTGAATAGAAAAAATCATATCTTGTAATTTTCAGGGAGAATCTGATCCAAAAATGCTCATAAATGTCCATAAAATTTTCTTAGGTTTAAAAATGGGCTATTTACAAAAGTAAAAACCAAATGTTTTGACGCTAAGTCATCATTGGGGTTGTCATAATTCAGAGTCAAAAGACGTTTGGTTTTGATGTTAAAGTATTTTAGCTCAGGAAATGGCTCAACACTAATGAAATAATATAATAAATGTTTTCATGTTTTTACAATTTCACAATTACCTTTGAGAGAAATTATTCCATATCTGAGATAAATACCTTTTTCTATCCTTATTTTCATCCAAGAATGCTGTTTAATGCGCTCAGCTATTATTCAATAATAGTTGAGACTTTAATTTGTTCAATATAGTTTTTGTTTTGTCTGTTGTGGGCTTTTGGTTCACTGTTATCAAACATATTTATTGACGACTTTAGTACCAGCAATCAAAGAAGTGCGTTTGAATCCTAAAAGGAAGTCACATTGTTATGAAATGCTCGGATAGTAAAGTATACGAATCAATTTGGTATTTACCCAGTGAGTCGGCTAGTAGGCACTCCGGGCATCAGGGAGATTGTTATTGCCATTTCGTTGGTTTTATTCTGAGAGTAATCGTGAACAACCTAACACAGTTACTTCATGCTATAACTATCCACCTATCCTAGCTCTGGCCTGGAGTGTCTGCTTGCGAATACAAAACAACCTGACAATATTTTTTTTTAAGGAAGAAAAGTGGACAGGCTGTCTCCATTTGAAGGTAGCTTACAATAAAGGGTTCTACCTTTTTCTATCCTTATTTTTTTCATCCAAGAATGCTGTTGAATGCGCTCAGCTATTATTCAATATAGTTGAGACTTTAATTTATTCAATATAGTTTTTGTTTCGTGAGTTGTGGGCTTTTGGTTCACTGTTATCAAACATATTTATTGACGACTTTAGTACCAGCAATCAAAGAAGTGTGTTCGAATCCTAAAAGGAAGTCACATTGTTATGAAATGCTCAGGTAGTAAAGTATACGAATCAATTTGATATTTACCCAGTGAGTCGGCTAGGTCCACAGCTGACAAAATGACATACATAGTATTATGACATCACTATGACGTATCTCATTTGTGGATAAATTAACTTAATGATCAATAATAGAATTTCTCGACGAAACACTCCCCTCCACAAAAAGGGATTTGTAAATTAGTAGGTCCAGATTATAAAATTAGTAACAGTACAGAGTTGATATCATTTCAGAAGTAAAAAAATGTCATCCTTTGGTATAAGTAACACTAAACGGTGTACAGGGCATTCGATTGTGATGCATCCTCTTCCTTGATATTTGGTTACAGTTTCACTTTGCTTATGATTTTTGTACTACACTTGAACTTTGCGCACTTTTCTGTCAGAGCCCGGGAAGGTATTTGAAACTACCCCAAGTCACCATTGACCTCTAATCAAGTTAGAATCTTGTATTAAAACAAGATCTCCAGTTTTTGGGTTGCGAGGTGCTGTGTACCACTTAATAGATAATAGAGGCTCGGAATGGTAATTAAGTTTTCTCAATGTAGATCTTAAATAATATGTAAAAAAAAACTGACAGTGAAGTAATGTAGATAAATTTTGTACACTGCAGTCAGTTAAACACATGTTGGTTTGACATGCTTTAATCTCACCATTATTAGTAACACCATGAACTGCCACTTTTAACCTTAGGTAGTTCATTCTCTGTTGCATTGTCCACTGCTAGTCACAAAGAAGAACTAGAAGGAGAAGAGAAAACTATGAATCTTCTGGAAAAGAAAGGTGAGTGAAAACAGACCCTGAAGCTAACAGCTGGTTTAATCAAAATTGAAATTGTGAAGCAAGAAGTAGAATGCTCTGAAAGACTTTAAGCACTTTTTTCAGTTGTTAATTTCCCAGGCAGATTAATCTAAATTTGGCTTTGCCTCACCCTCTACTTAAACATGAAGGCGTGCTATAAAAGAGCCTTAGGTCCCACTGGACCATTTGTCAATCAACCGTCGTGTGATGTAAAACTCATAGAGTCAAGTCAGCTTGAGCTACAGCTACCCCAAAGCAGTGAACAGCGGGCGCATTCCTCAAAATTGTTTTATGTCTTCATCACAATACAAGAATTTTTGAGATTTGTATTTCCTTTCTCCAATGCAAACTGTCTTTATTTGTGGCGGTAAATTTGAGATCGAAGAAGGTGGTTCGCACGTTACCTCATGCCACCATGCTCGTGGAAGTAAACAATAGATATCTCATTAGCTCCTTTTGTTCGTCTACCAGCATTTAAATTTGGCCCGCACACGTCAACGGTGAGTGACGAATGAGCCTAGGTCTTCCCAGGGAAGACTTCCTTATATCATAAGCGCATCTTTTGTGTTTAAATTAGAGGGAGTATTAAAAGTGGTAAAAATACATGTATAATTATACAGTCATAAAATAGTTGTTTTCAACAATGATCATGAAGGCTTTAATAGAGAACTGACACTATTTGACTTCAACATGAATATATTTGCTGTTGGTGCAGGTACAGTGTATGCCTGTTGTTATCTTATCTGTGTAAAGTAAGACACTGAATTTTGAATAACTCTGTATGCCTTTGCTGTCAGATTCTCTACCTTCCTCTACTCTCTCCACCACTGATCTTGAAGAAAAGCTGGAAGAAGTATGTGTGAAACTTATGGTGCTAAGAAAGGAAGGTGAATAGAAAAAATCATATCTTGTCATTTTCAGGGAGAATCTGGTCCAACAATGCTAATAAATGTCCATAAAATTTGGTTAGGTTTAAAAATGGGCTATTTACCAGGCTAAAATATTCAAAAAGTAAAAACCAAATATTGACACTGGGTCATCATTGGGGTGATGATAACCCAGAGTCAAAAGACGTTTGGTTTTATTGTTAACATATTTTAGCCTTGCAAATGGCTCAACACTTATAAAATAATGTAATGAATTGAATGTTTTCACAATTTCACAATCACTTTTGAGAGAAATATTTCCATATCTGAGACAATAACCTTTTTCTGTCCTTATTTTCATCCAAGAATGCTGTTAAGTACTCTCGGCTATTATTCAATATTGTAACTTAATTAGTTTTCTTGGGTAAATTTTCCTTAATTCAGTTTTTCCTCTTAGTCCATAACTTTATTTGACTTTGATATTGTGGTGAACAACAAATCGCTCGACAATGGTTATGCGAGGTCTGTACTCTTATTGACAACGATATTCGTCATCGAATTGGTCAAAATTTGTTGCGGACCCAATCGGCTGCTCATCGTGAGTCCACAACATTTTTGACCACTGTGATGAAGAATATCGTTGTCGATAAGAGTAACACACCACGCTGAACCACTGTTCATTTCTTAAATAGACAATGGAATATTATAGTCAACTTGGTAATTGACTACAGGGAATTCCCAAATACAGAGAATGCAGACTGCTATTAAATAGTTCCAGTTCTTTATCGAATTATCTTTTCCAACGGGACTCTTCTTCTACCACAGTAATAATTAACAACTGCGATGCTCAGTTACGTTTCTCCTGTGGCACTGAGCACTTAGATGAGGAATGTTCTCACGAGTAGCAAATCTTGGCAACCCATGCCAGCCATCGCCCTCATTTAGTTAGTAGACAACCTTCCATTGCACTCAGAGAAAATAAATAAAGTAAAACAAGCGAAGAAAGACCAAGGAAAAGTGAATTTCTCCTAGCGCTTCTTAAAAATAACTGGCTTCTTAGGATAAGCTCATCCTGGTCCTAGAAACTTTCAACTTTTCCTACTTATGCAAAATTACAGGTGCTGTTACGCGCAGTTTGCTTGGTGCGGGCAGTGCTTGGGATTTGCACGCGCGTGAAGTGTGGGGTACTGTGGTGACAAATTTCAACTGTTAGTTGTTAAAAGGGTTAACTGAAAGAATTTTTTAACAGAGAGAAATTAATCGTTAGCCGTAAAATGGCCAAAATTTTAACCCTAAGCCATTGAATGGCCCAACTTTTTAACTGTTGGCTGTAGTAGCAATCACTCCTTTAAGACCCTAATGTATGTCTTGCATTAAAGAACTTTTGAAAATAATGTGATATGTAAGAAATGATCGACAACATGAAATGGTATTGGTATCTTTCAATGATAAATATAAGTTTAATGTTAAGTTTCTCCGTGTTCTGTCACAGATAATGGCTACATTGACGCTTACTTTGTCTCAAAGAGTAGTTTCTTAATTTTTTCTCAATAATTTCTCAGATCTTAGAATATGACCCAAAGTATTGAAATAGTTTGTGCTTTTTTTAATGTCCTCCATAATAGCATTAGAGAACACCATTAGATCAGGACTGGTGAAGTTTGATGTCAGTTTACCCAAGGAACTCCAGAGCTATGTCAGCTACTTATTCAATGAGTCAGCTAAACTTGGCTTACGCAAGCGAGGTATTTAACATGGCTAAAATAACTGACAGTTTGTAATGGTTTACAAACATATTTCCAGTTATCTATATTCTGTCGTAAGATTGCAGAGAAATGCTGGGTTTTTGTATTG